TAAAGATATTGACAAAGCGGAGAAGGTAGAATCTTCAAGTTTTGATGGTATAGTTCATCATGATGGCGTTCCTCACACAAGCTTGTGCATGATGTTGTTGGGCTTGATAATCATGGTGACGCCCAGAATCATGCATCAAATCAACATGTTGATGTTGGTAATAACAATGATATTGTTATTGATAATTCTATTGCTCATGAAGTTGTGGACTAATCACATATTTCGCTTCGGAGGTACATAAGACAACGGTTTTCTTCCTCCTGTTATTCACCCAATGAGTATGTGCTACTCACTAACGGGGGAGAACCTGAATGTTATAAGGAGGCCATGGAAGATGAGCACAAGTATCAATGAATTGAAGTCATGCAAGATGAGATGAAGTCTCTGCATGAGAACCACACTTATGAGTTGGTAAAATTACCTAAGGACATGAGAGCTTTGAAAAACAAGTGGTGTTGAAAGTTAAAGTTGAAGAACACAATTTGAAGCCAAAGTACAAAGCTATATTGGTTGTTAAGGGATTTGGTCAAAGAAAGGGTATTAACTTTGACGAAATATTTTCTCCTGTTGTGAAAATGTCATCGATTCGCACAGTTCTAGGTTTGGCTGCTAGTCTTAATTTAGAGATTGAGCAAATGGATGTGAAGATGACTTTCCTTCACAGTGACCTAGAAGAAGAGATTTATATGGAACAACCTGAGGGCTTCAAAGTTGAAGGTAAAGAAAATTTTGTTTCAAGAGTCTATATGGCCTAAAACAAGCTCCTAGACAGTGGTACAAGAAGTTTGAATCTACTATAGGGGAGCAAGGCTATAAGAAAACTTCATCAGATAATTGTGTATTTGTACAAAAATTTTCTGACCATGACTTTATCATCCTTTTATTGTATGTGGATGACATGTTGATTGTAGGCAATAATACTTCCAAGATTGATGAGTTAAAGAAAGAGTTGTGTAAGTCTTTTACTATAAAAGACTTGGGTCATGCCAAACAAATTTTGGGCATGAGAATTACTCGTCTCAGAGATGAAAGGAAGATTTAATTGTCCCAGAAGAAGTACATTGAACGTGTACTTGAACGCTTCAATATGAAGAATGCTAAGCCTGTTAGCACACCTCTTGCTTGTCATATGAAGTTGATCAAGAAGATGTGTCCTACATCTAGGGAGTAAAGAGAAAACATGGCCAAATTTTCATATTCCTCCATCATCGGAAGTCTAATGCATGCAATGGTATGCAGTAGACCTGATATTGCTCAAGCAGTTGGTATTGTCAGAAGATTTCTCAAAAATCCAAAAAAAGAGCATTGGAAAGCTGTGAAGTGGATAATCAGGTTTCTTAGAGGAAGCTCAGATGAATGCTTGTGTTTTGGAGCATCAAATCCAATCTTGAAAGGCTATAGAAATTCTACTATGACAGGTAACCTTGATAAGAGAAAATTCACTACTGGATATTTATTTACTTTTAAAGGGCTAGCTATTCCAGAGTGCAATAATAGACTTGAGTAAGAACTCCATGTACCATGCAAGAACAAAACACATCTACGTCATATAATTGGATTCGTGAGGAAGTGGAGAGTGAATCATTTCACGTCAAAAAGATTCACACAAGTAAAAATCCCACAGATATGCTGAATAAGACGATATCAAAAGACAAGTTCGAGTTATGCCAAGAACATGTGTGTATGAGCTCTCTCTAAAGAAAAATGAAGATACTTCCTTCCAGTGAATGGGACTGGAGGGGGAGATTTGTGGAGTCCATCCCATATTTTTGGTCAACTTTTGCTATTCAATTGCTACAAGTAATTGTTAAACAGGAACAGTAATTGGAGTTGAAATAAAAGATTTGGTGGTTGACAAATTGGTAAGTTTTACAACCATTTTTGACTTTGCGATATTTACCTATGTCATTAGTGACATAGGCATGTTTTTGTCCTTCTATAAATAAAGCATTCTTACTCATTTGTAGAACACACCAAGTTAGAGAGAAAAATCATTTTGAGAGCAAAGTGAGGTATTCCATAGACTGTACAAGAAAAATAATCTGTGAGAAAAATAGAATGTGAACGATATTTTAGTAAGGTGGAAACCAAAAGAGTGTTGTTTCTTTAGAGTGTGTAGTAGTCACGTTGAGTACTGTATTCTTGACAACACAGTGTAAAATTCCTTGTTGTAGTGATATCAGTTGCTCCTCTTGGCCCGTGGTTTTTTCCTTATTTAGAAGAGTTTCAACATAAGATTTTTGGTGTTGTTATTTTTCCATTTTATTTCATTACTTTTACCATATATATTTTTGTGCTTGTCCGCGTTTTTCCAACAAAGAAAAGTGTAAACATATTCATTGGAGGGATGGTATGGTTAATCAACAATCTAAGTTCATCATTGCAAGGTATAGATAATGAAGGGCACAAATGAACTATTAGTTGTCCCGATAACTAAGAAAGTTATTGACGGAAAGAATTAATTTGGATTTATTGAACCCAACTTAGGGATGGACACAAAGTAATTTTTATACTTATGAATAATGCTCTTTTGAGTTAGTTCAAAGCTCAAACAAAACAAATACAATACCAATATATATATATATATATATATATATATATATACCAATATATATATATATATACATATTGATAAATTTTGTTCATAAATTTTTCTTGATAGATGTTCTTAATTATTTTTACCGATAAAGGAGGAAGGGAGAGGGGGGGGGGGGAGGTTGAAAAATATACCTGCAGTTGAAGAGGAACTCGATGGAAGAAGATGAAGTTGAGAAATAGCGCCTTTTTTTTGGTCTATTTTAGTAAAAATTTAGGTATTTTAAGGTAAAAAATATAGAGACAAAAATATAAAAGTTAAAAATTTGGGACTATTGAGAAAACAACTTTAACCTAATTAATATTGTTTATTTATTTGTCGCTTCCACCTAACATTTAAGACTTGAAGCAATTCTGCCCAATTGACTAATTAGTTTGTCCTTTTTTAATAGAACTCTCCCTATCGAATACACAATCCTAAGTCTCTTCAATTTTGTAAAATAACAATCGGTGTTTGTTGTGTGATTATTAAAGATCAACTTGACATTTGATTCAAACCATTCCCCCCATTTTCTGTTTATACAACACGTTTACTCTAATTATTCTTTGATAAATTCATTCTCCAATCCTTGTGGATTTGATTCCGACGACTCAAAAGTTAGGTTTATTTTGCATGTGGATTAATTGTGTTGCTAATGTCATATATCACCCTTCTATATGAGTATGATCCTCCATATTATAACATAATGTTTCTTTTTCAAATATGTTACAACATGACTACTAATACAACTAAAAATGAATCTGAGTTTTTAGCCTTGTTTTCAGATTCTCACCACTCATGAATTGTTTGTACTTTTACTTGTATGAGTGAACCATGACATCGAGTCGTTGCACTTGAATAATACTTGCATACTCTTGTAGCAAAATCTCATGTTAGATCCATATTATCTAGGTATGGAGGATAACACAAATATCTGATATTTCATATTGAGTCAGTATGTACTTCATCATTAATAGGTGATTTGCTTTCCATATCCCCCAAAGAAAGAAAGAGATGTTGAATAAAATTTCTCAAACCAATATCATGTTCTTAAACTATATATTGTGAGAGAACGTGATTTATTCCTCAATAATTTTTCAAGCACTACTCACTAGTTTCTCAAAATTTGTCAACCACCACCACGAATGATCTCAAAATAATAATTTTGCCTACACTATGCTTGACATAATGATTGTTGAATCTTTTCATAATTTCATCCTTCATCATCCGTTAACTCTTCTACCTCTTCTATTGGTGAAACGGATCCAACTTGGTCTAGTTGTCAAATCATGTACTCAATGATCCACTTTTTGGTTTCAATAGCCTTTCTATTTTCCAGCATCATCTTTCATATTTTCACTGCACCAAGGTTGGAATAAGTTTTTATTGCATTTGTTTCACATGATAATTTTCAAGTTCTAAATCTTCACCAGAACTTAGGATACATAACTTTTAAGCTATCAAACATAACCCAAGTCCTAAAGCATCTTCTTTTTTTGGTAAATGGATATTTGCCCCATATGACCAGTGTCTTCTTTTATCTTCTTCCTCAACGTTTCAGAAAAAAAAAACTGTGAATACCTTAGACAATATATTTTAGCACACATTTGTGAGGCACTATTATATTACATATAGAAAATAGATTGAAATAGCACACTGTAAATTGAAATTACTTTCATACCATAAGATAAGATCCTTCCTTTCAAGAATGTAATTTGACTGCATCATTTTTAAGTATTTCAGGTGTAATATAACTTCCTTTTTTTTTTTTTTGGGGGGGGGGGGGGGGGAGAGAGTTGGATAGTCTAAATATAGTCCTCTAAGCATCCTAGTACATTTCTCAACTTGTTGGATCAAATCCAGTGCCACATTTTGATGCATGCAGAAAACACACGTCTTTATTAACATTTTTGCCTAATTGGCACTTCATAATCCTGCAAAGTAGTCAGATCATCTGCATAAAAAAGTTTGTACACCACTTTGGCATGTCAAAACCTATGCGCAACCCCTTGTCAAAAAAAAACATTGAGTGATCTTGTTAGTACCCTGCAGATAAAATGAAGAAAGCTGGAGACAGGGGATCCCCTAGATTCATCACAAATAGAGTGAAAGAAACCTTGTGCTTGGCCATTGATTAGTATTGGATACCAACTATCAACAGTATCTCTTCCACCACCTGTTTGAACTTTTCAAATAGGTTCCAACTATCTTCAATTCTTGCTCAATATACATGCATAATTTTCAAGCATTGTGTTGGAAGGTGAGGAGTACACAAATAATGTGGAATATTGTTTGTGGAACTTGATTTTTTTTTACTAGGAAACTCATTTTCTTCATTTTAAAAAAACAACATTTCTCCTACTTTCAGTAAGAGTCATTTTCCTCAACATTAGATGAGACAATATATTGAGATAAACTCTACTCATACCATGTCAATTGCAGCTATTCTAGTTGACAAACGAAGGAATCATTTACATGTAATCCATCTACAACCTTCATATTTTAGGAGTTACATAGAGAGTTTGAAGAAGAGATGAGCTTGTTACATGGAGCTTGCCTAGTGAGCATTTTACCACAAAGTGCATACTACAGAATGCTCACCTGAACGGTAGAGGTTGTGTGTTTCCCAGAGATTTCCAAAAAAAAAAGAAGCAATTACACTGCTAAACTACTCTTTAATATCTCACTATAATACAAGTACAGCCAAAAAAAGCTATAGACAGAATCGGGAACTCTTTACATCATCATCAGTTTTCAAGACTCGAGTCTCTTATCAGCTGATACAACTTTTTGGTGAATGGTATCTACAGTTTGTTTCTCAAGTTTCTTCCACAAATACAAAGCTCTTCTAATTATGTTATCTGCGGAAAATCCTTCCGCATAAGCACTAATAGCTGTTAAGAGGCTAGTAAATTTCTCCCCACCATCCTGCATAAAAAATCTCAGCTTTCAGATTGTAGCAAACATCTAAGCATCAGCACCAGTTTTATTTTTTTACAAGTTCCTGGACTGATTTTCTAATGCTTGTTGCCAACTGTATAAATTCAAGCTTCAATATAATATACTCACTCATAGGAAAAGCTATCAATGGACATATAGCCAATCTCGGAAAATAGAAGTAGCCCTCACAAGGTTCAGGCATCAGTCTAATCAAAACTCCCACAACATACACTAAGGAAGACAAGGTGCTTTTCAATGTATGGACTTGCTCAAGCTGCTGCCAATGTGGACCTTGAAATTCATTGATGTGGACAGGCGAATCTAGGATTTCTAGAACACAGGTGCACCACTAAAAAAAGAAGAAAATAATGTATACAATGGGAATTGATCCTAATCCTCTAGGTGAACAACTCAAAATTTAACAAGTGCACCATTTGACCTTGTATCATCGGGTGCTAGCAGATAAAATTATATTAATTTTAGAAAACATATATACATAAAATACCTAGTTTTACGGAAAGACCATGGGTTCATGAGCCCCATGATTTGGCCAATAAATTTTCCATTGGATGTGGAACATGTATCATTGAGCAATGTGAAGTCATATTATAAGTCAATTTTTTATCCTTCCGAGCATCTATAGGCTGAAAAAGTTCCCACCAAATTTGGGCTAAAAGGCCAACATACCTTCCAATTAATAACTACAGATATATTAGAAATATGGTGCGAGAAATTTAGAAGTCTTAACTCCAACCTGTTTCCTCACTCTAAGTATAAGGAAAGCCACTTTACTATTTGACACCCACCACTAAGCAATGCAAACTTGGATGGTTGGATGCTGGCCTCTAGTCAACACTTTAATAGCTTCTAAACATCAACAAACATGGAGATACTTATAGGACATTGATTCTAAGTGAATTGCAGAGTTGCACCCAAAAATAGACAGCATTTAAAATTATAGATGTGGAACGGAAAATATAAATACTAAGATGATTCACCTCTGGTTTCTCAAATATCAAGTCATCAGGGACAAAAGGAACCATGTAGGATGGAAGATCACATCGTAGTATTGCCTGCAAAATTGACAGATTTATTCAGTGCGCAGTGGGATGAATTATGAGGTCAGAACAACATATCATAGGGAAAAAACTACATACTAGATCCTTGCTAAGTCTAGCCAGCTCTGCATCGGACAGCAATGCCTGAAAGCAGATTAACCAATCAAATTAAGAGATTAACTTATTACTCATCTTCTCTTCAAAGTAGAAGAATCATGAATGTGGAAGGGATCACATACAGACAGGAGGAATATGAGTAGTTCCTGCATGCTTATCAAACTGTCAATTTGCTTCTTTTGTAGTCCTTTGCAAGTAAATTAGTAATTTGACAGGCAGTTGGTATGTATGGCATACAAGACAGCCCATTATCAAGTCTTTATTGACTGAAGTGCCTATTCACTTCCGCATGCATTGTTCCGTCATGAATAACCAGATTATACGCAATATAGATTGTTGTTTTATTATTGCAATATACTTGCAGGGGAGAATACTGAAAATATTCAAAACTTCTACGAATTGTTTACTTCACATTTCACGAACATGAGCAACTAGTCTAAATTCAATTATTGCACAACCTCTTGGTTCCTGGCCACCATATTTTGTATAGTACTTACAATTTCACGAGATTTTCTCTGACAAAGGTTACAACAACCAGAACTGGATCTTACATTAGCTATCCCGAATCTACATTAGCATAGACTTCCGTTCGTAGATGTCCATATCTTAAATAACTAGCCTTTTCCATGACTCCCTAGCAACTTACAAGTATCTCACAGTTTGCACTCACCATCAAAGAGTTACTTTTTTAGTGAATGCATGAATTGACTCACCTAGATTACTGCAGAAGTTATTTTTGGACAGGTATGGAGCAAATTTGCTATTTTCAACAAGCTTTAAGTATCGCACCCACCACATCTTATATATTGACGGACTGTAACTTCAAGATCAACCGATGTTTCAACAGATTTGCGACCAAGTAAGCTTGTTTCAGTGAGCAAGTCATGCACATATGGGCATTGACTGACAAATTTACCTTCCTTAGACGTAGCAAACTCCAGCACAAGGATATATTTGAACACCCCCAAGTCCTTGATATCAAAGTCATCAGCAAGTTTCCTTTTTGATGTTTCTAGTTTAGGAAAGGCACTTAACAAAAAAGATGGACATTGGAGCATTGATAACTTGATATGGGGGACCAAGATTGGGTAAAAAAAAAATGAAATTGGTCTAGCTGTGATATTATGTTAAAAAAAGGGACCTTGAGCTTGAATCTACCCCAAAAATCTAGCTCATAAGATGATGTTGTCCAAGGTCATCTGTGTCCCTTAACCAATACGAGACAGTTAACAAGAAAGCAGAAGGCCGGTGTGCCTTGTTTGAGAACTTTTTCGGCGAGAGTTGCTTAGTGTTTATAAAATTGTCAAGATTCGTAGGAAGTTTACTTCATGAATGGAGTGGTCATAATCTGCACAGAGTGTGGACACTGGTTTTTAGATTGCACATGAAGAGTCAGATGGAACTTCACGACAAGATGCCAGCCTCTATAAAAAAAGGACAGAAAAGAGCAACTAAGCTTTCATACCATGAGAAAGAGAATATTTTTGAGGAGAACTCTTTAATCACTTCTTGTTAAAGAATGTTGTACACATTTTCTTATAATAGAAGAATGAAGATCAAGATCAAAATACTAGCAGGAAAAACTGCTACAGAATCACAGATAACCCTACAATTAACTTTCCTAAGTTTCTAGATTTGAATAAATGGTATGGAAAATAAAATCAGCACGTCTCTGAAACCAGCAAGTCAATATCTACTGATTTGGTGATATCCTAGCATCTTCCGTTCTCAAACAAACCTCAAGCAAACAATTAGTTCTATTCAGGCTTATTATTCCAATATTGAATAATTGGACACTAAGGCAATTTAGCAGTTGTTGTATTGCCTTGGGAATGTTTAGGCTTGTTAGTTCCTTTAATAGTACTAGTCGTACCCTTGTAGTTCTGGCCATATGTTATTGTGGTTTAATTACCACACTATTTTGTAGTTGTTATTGTTCTTTCTTGTACACTTTCTTTTTGTTATAAAGGTAACATTTGCATATCAATCATCAGCTCAAATTTGTTATCCAACAATTTACATCATATCCTCCCTCCACACTTGTGTGTCTCGTGTGTCTGGCATAAACAAAAGATAAAGAAAAGAAAAGAAGAAAAAAGAAAACTATTCTTTGTAGACTTTACACTGCTTTTCTTATTAAATGCTATGATTTCTTCATTGTTTTCTTCTTTTATTTTAGTTTGATGCGCTTGAGCCGAGGGTCTTTTGAAACAATCTCTCTACCTCCACGAGGTAGTGGAAAAGTCTGTGTATACCCTAACCCTCCTCAGACCCCACTTAGTAGGATTTCACTAGGTGTGTTGTTGTTGTAAGGCAATCTAGGAGTTCTCTAAAATTTGGTTTACATACAACTCTCTAACAAAACTAAGAAGGAGAATACAAGTATTAGATTAACTAAAAAGAATAGAGTCTCATTTTAATTAGGTTTATATTTTAATCTGTCAGGTCCTACAAAAGGAATGCCAAACCATTTCTAAGACTCAACCGAAAGAGTTCAGATGTAAGACGATTGCATACTTCAGATGCTCCATTCAAAGATCAATTGAAAATTGCTGCAATAGAGATGCAACAGTAGAATTGTTTTGGAGGGGGGGAGAGACCAAACATATGAATACTACATTATTACCACTTTCAAAAACGGGTCTAATCCAAAAGATTGACTGTTTCTACTCGCTATAGCCTGCTTCAGGGTATGCACATCCTATAATTTGGTGAACTGTGAAATACAAAGCTAACCCTGACATGCACATGCTGTGATTCCATATACAAAGGGAAGTGACTCAAATTCCAAAAAGATGGCATTTGGCAGATAGAGATGCAACAGTTAATAATGTTGCCAATATTTTGGAGCTGGCTGAGATCCTAGGATGCAGAACTGCTGGTTTTCCAACTACATACTTGAAGTTGGGCCTCTCTCGGTGACGAACATAGGTCAGCAGGGAGTATGGCAAGGAATAGTGGAAAAATTGGAAACAGGTTGGCAAGCTGGCATAAGTGATGAGACAGAAAGAGGTAGAACAGTACAATTGTTTTAGAAGGGGAAGACAGACAAACATATAGCTACCATATTCTTACCATTTTCAAGTATAGCTTTCATCCATAAGATTGATACTCACTACGGCCTACTTCAGGTTTGATCCATAAAATCCATTTCTTTACATATCAAAGCAGAACTTCTTCCAAATCTTATCACCCGATGTTGGGCCACCATATTATAAAAATTGTCGATGCTTCAAATGTTCAACCCTGGACGGGAGGGGGGGATCGAAGAGTTCCCACATCAAGGATTTACAGGATAGGTGGTCTCTTTAAATGATTTGCTCAATATTCCCCTCTTCAGCTAATTTTTGGGGTTGAATTAGTCCCAAAATCCAGCTTCTTGCAAAGTACAAAGCCAACACAGACACACACATGCTGTGATCATGTACAAAGCAAGGAAACTCCAATTTCTAAAAGATGGTATTTGGCAGATAACATATCTTAATTGTCAGAAATCACAAATGATAAACTAGTTTTCTTCTTCTCTTCTGTACATATTTCTCTTTTTTTAGCAGAGTGAATTCCAATGGTAGTCCATTGAACAGACATGGTCTAAAACAATTGGGAAATCGTATTATAATTTAAGCTAAGGGAATTGTTAAAAGCAAAAAGTACCACATTGGTTATTAATGAGATGGCTGGACTCCTTATAAGGCTTGGACAATCCTCCTCCCTTTTGAGCTAGCTTTTGAGGTGTGAGTTAGACCTAACACCTAATTTAACATGGTATCAAAGTCATGCCCATCCCAATTCGTTGTTCACCGATTTTGGGCCCCCATTTAGAAGTGTTCACGCTCCATTTGAGGTCTGGGCGTGCGGGGGAGTGTTAAGAAGTCCCACATTGGTAGAAGGATGGAAATTTGGTCTCCTTATATGGACTTGGACAAACCTCCCCTCATGAGCTAGCTTTAGGGGTTGAGTTAGACCAAGGTACCATATCCTTACATGGTATCATAGTAGGGCCCATCTTACCCGATGTTGGGGCCGCAAAAAAAATCAAAAATTGCCCAAAAACTACCCGCGCACCAAATGCTAAGCACTGGGCATGAGGTGGGTCAAATTGCCCACGCACGAGATGTTAAGCACTAGGCGTGAGGTGGAGTCTTAAAAGAAAAAAATCTCACATTGGTGGTTAATGAGATGGGTGGACTCCTTATAAAGGTTGACAATCCTCCTCCCTTTGAGCTAGCTTTTGGGATGTGAGTTTTCCACGCACGAGATGCTAAGCACTAGGCGTGAGGTGGGGTGCTAAAAACAAAAATCTCACATTGGTGGTTAATGAGATGGGTGGACTCCTTATAAGGGTTGGCAATCCTTCTCCCTTTGAGCTAGCTTTTGGGATATGAGTTAGGCCTAAGACCTAATTTAACAGGAATAACATGGACAAAACAGTTAAAGTGTAAACAATTCACAGCCAGAGTAATTTGGATCCTGTTCACGTGACCAGTAATACTGGATCAGCAGATGTGGATTGAAGACTGATATATTGCTTTGTTTATAGATTACTATTAAATCTAATCAGCTACCGTGTCTAAATGATACCCAGAGATGACAAACTTACATAGGCTTCCTCTGGAGGAGGCAATTTGAATGGAAAAAATTAAAGAAAGAATAATTGGAAATGGTGAATCTCATGTAACAAGTCACTACCAAGAGAAGTTAAATAAACCACAATCATAAATTAGCAGGAGTTACCTTCCTAATTCGCTCCTCCTCAACTTGTTCAACACATTCTAACAAATTTTCTAGTGTACCTATTAAATAAAACCAAAATAGAAACAAGTTAAAAGCAAACTAAATTATGACGGAATTGAAGGACACAAAAACTACTAAATAAATTAAGGAAGATGGAAAAGAAAATACAAAAGAGTAGATAAAAAGCCCAATACCATTCAAGGAGAAAAATGAATGTCTTATTTTTATTAACAAACAGTTCAATTTTTAATGAAGAATACTGTAATACTTAACACACTGCAAAAATATTCTGATGACTGTAAGAACCATGGTACCACATTTATAACATGATAATAACGTATTTTTGCCGAGGGGAAAGATGTCCGAATAATGGTGATTTTGGATTATACTAGTTGTGTACGAGAAGGCTCCAGGTCATAATTTGCAGGTAGTTAACCGCTTTCCTTGTAGGAAAAAGGCCAATCATCCCTCTGTCTCATAGAGAATGGCCGAGGATTCAGAGTACAAGGATCGAATCATATAGTTTGCATTGTGACTTTGAGAATCGTCTTAAAAGAAAAAGGTATGACGGATTGGAAACCCGCAAAATCACCACTGAAAGCAATCATCAATTACGAACAAAATTGGAGAGTTAGTTTTCAAGGAGAGATATCAAAGGCGGGTTGAAAAACTCATTAATCTCTCTCACACTAGACCAAACATAGTCTATTCAATAAGCTTGGAGAGTCAGTTCATGCATCATCCCCGAGATACTGATATGCAAAGTTGTCATTCACATTTGCAGTATCTGAAGTGTGCTCCACGGAAAGGTCTATCTTTTCTCAGACACAGTCACCTTCAAATAGAAGCGTTTACGGATGTGGATTAGGTATAATCTCTAGATGACAAAAAATCTACATATGATTTCTATACACTTGTATGAGGAGACTTGGAGAAGCCAGAAGCTAAGTGTAATCAAGCATGGAGGAAGAACATAGAGCTAAGGCCTAGGGTGTTTGGGAAATTTTGTGGTTACAAAAGCTACTAGAGGAATTGAGATTGTCTGAAAAAGCAAAACTTTTCTTGTATTGTGACAACAAGGCTGCAATAAGTGTAAGCTCATAATCAAGTCCAACATGACTGAATAAAACACATTGAAATTGATTGATACTTCTTCAAAGAAAGTTACGAGCGGTCTGTTGAGTTTACCAAAGGCCTCAACAAACAGACTTTCCATACACTTGTTTGCAAGTTGGCATGTGTGACATCTTTGTTTCAACTTGAGGAGGTGTTGATTGATTGATATCCTAGATAATTATAATATATATATATGATTAAATTTATATTGTAATTAGATGTAATTGATTGAGTAATATTGTCTTCCCTTATTTAGTCTTAGGATTCCTTGTATAAGTACCCATTCTCATGGGAAGTACATTCATCAATAAACAAAAAAGTTTTTTCTTCTTGAAATCTTCACTTTCACGAAGTCTTTCACTGGTCCTCGAGTAATTTAATTTTTTTTTTTGAGAAGGTAACATTTTTTTGTATAATTATTACCAGCTCGAGGGGAAGTGCTAGAATATAAATATATATATAGTGTCCCATAAGGAAAAGGATTATTATAGCATCCCATAAGGGGGGAATCAATAATATTATAGCATCCCATACGAAAAAATAATAATTATGTATTGTGTAGTATATAACTATGAATAGGGCTAAGCGGAATAAAGAAGATACACATCTTAATAATATTTTTTTGTGCTTCCACTCATTGTAGGAACGCAAAAGGCCTTGTATTACCTTCCATGTTTCTGAAGAAAAGAATAGAGAAAGAAGTAGCAGCAACAAATGTAATTGTAGCTCACATTTCTTGTTATATAAAATGGATATGAACTTTCCCTTTAAGGAAAGTGAACAGAGCTAACAGAAATGGAGAATTAGATATAAATTTTTTAGTCAGAGGGAATATTTGCATGCCAGTCTGTTGCATCACACAATAATAATTTGTCTAGAAACCAAGCAACCTATAGGCACTGAGAATCAGAATTAGGTAGGCATACTCCGGATTTTCATGTTACTACATTTGTGAACAATTATAAGTGCAGCAGTAACATGCAGGAAAGGAGGCCATTATGGAAAGGATTTATCCTTCTAAAGCAGGGGAAGCAGTTCTAACTTGTAACAGCCCGTCAAAATTAAGGTTCCCCAGAGTATATTACTAACAACAGTTAACATACCAAATTTTGCAATAAGTTGAATAGCATGTACATCTCCAATCCCGTGAACTCCTGCAAAAGAAATGAAAAAAAAGGAGGAATATAGTGCCAGATCTTTTGAAAATTGAGTTTTATAAAATGAAAGATTCCAATGGAGTACTACCATTAAGCTGAATCTGATTTGTATCTACTAATAAACTACTTCCGATAAGTCCAGTGAGACAGACTTATCTATTGTGACTTGATATATTGAAAAAATACCAGAATCTGTCTGAAGGCAGAACACATGTAACTAGCAGCAGCATTTTTTATAAGTGATCTGTACAACACCATTCTGAAGTAATGAGATATAGATATGCCATCCTTTTCTCCTCTTCATTTGGACTTTAACAATGTGAAAGGAAGTGCCATGAACTTCCCAGTAAAATTCTAAGTTAAGTGGACTCTTCGCTTTGATGCCGCACTCGTGTCAGGTTCTCCAAAAATACACTACTTTTGGAGAGTCCGGCATGCACCCATTGACATTTTTGGAGTGTCCGAGTAACATAGGTGAAATTTCTCAAGCCATTTCCATTTTTTAGAGTTCACAGTTTTTCTGTGTCTTGTCATTGCGTCAGTCATTATTGAATTTAACATTCAGAATGCTAATAGGCCAGCAATGCTTTTAAGTCAGTAACTCAGACCTCCAATAAAGAAGGACCTAAGTATTTTGTCGCGGTCCCCTGTTATGGATCTAGTTATGGGACGCTGTAAGATGAAATCTGATGTTTTCTTTCTATGACTTATGGTGCTGGTTTATTAAGAGAGAACCTGCAATCTCGAGTTGATGTACTAAAAAACTGGAATATTTTCTGCTTATCTTTCCATTGAGTTACAACAACTCTAAATACAACATTGGTGGTTTAACCACCCACCTAATAGCTAATAAATAACTTCCTACTGCCACTGAAATGAGAAAGTGGAGGAAAAACCTTCTTACTGCTAATAACTGCTACAAAGAAATAGGAAAACACAAATAATAGATAAGTTGTCCTTACTGCTTATAAACTGCAACAGAGGAAACAGGAAAACATAATGAATAGCTGCTAAAGTAATCCACTTTCTGATTAAATTTGTAAACTATTGGTAGACTAAAAGGGTGCTTATATTTTGCTAATGCTTTTCTTTTGCTCAAGTCATAAAGGCTTTTGGTGCAATGTTGTACTTTATTGACAGCACTTGACAAATACTTCTGGGTAATACTGTTCAGAAGTTGGAGGGACTGAGTGAGTTTAGTTGAAAACAAAGAGAAGCCCAGCAATCTACCTTTTTTTTTAAAAAAAATAATATCTTGTATACTAGGCGGTCTGTGAGCTTGACTTTACTGGCAACTTAATAAAAGATAGCAATGCATCAGCATGTCCAGATATAGTGCATCTTCTGACTACCTTTCAATCTAATGAAAAGATTATACAAGGAAGCACAAATGGACCTGGTATGTTATCAGATTTATCACCCATAAGTGAGGTCAAATCAACAAACTGAGAAGGTTTCAGTCCTCCATATTTTTCAGCAAACTCCTCCATTCCAAATGAGACCATCCTGCCAAAAGGCCAGAAGCAAGAAGAGAATTGGTAAATATTTCAGACACATGTCAGATGACAGAAAAATAAACAATTTCGTGATACCCCCATTACCATGTATCTTCTAAGTGAAGGAGATGGGACTCAGAACTATCCATAATAAAACAGCAAACGACATCGAAATCATAGCAAATCTTATGGTAGAGGAGGAAAAGTTTATCTGGCATTAACTATACCTTATGCTTGAATATAACGGTACTAAACATCGTGGTTATCTCTACATAATGCTGCCTCAACTTTATAATATGGAAAGCTAGTCCAGGATTCACCTATCTCAATCAATCATCAAAATTCATGGTGTACTTCCATGATATGATATGTTTTTCCATTAATTTCCCGATCCCCTTTTTAAGGAGATCTGGGGATTCAGAATCCATTCTATCAACTTCAAAACATTGACTTCATGAAAAGTTCCCTCGGTAGTTGTAGTGTGAAGAATCATCAAAACATGGGCACATTAATATATTTTTTTTATACACATGAATCAAATTCATCACATCTGCAAATCCTTAGTCCATCCAATAACTGGAATGTCGCCCCTTTTACTGGTCAGAGTCAGAATGACACTTGTTCATAAACAAATTCTGAAGTACATAGATAGTTGATTTTGAGTATAGCAGTAAATTAGCTCTCAACCACTTCAGCAAAAGTTGTATCTCCTACCCTATTCTAAGTGCATCTTGTAACACTTCGTACTTCCTGACTAACGGTTGACCCATTCGAAAGGAGTAATTTGATCTGAACACGGAGAATATGGTTGCGTTCGAGAGTCAAAGTTCAATTTGGATGGGTTATGAGGGGTTGATAAGGATGTATGGTTATAAACTTATAATAGATGCCATGCTTGCGTCTAGTTTTCAATGCTCCAAACCATTCGTCAATCCGAGCTCGTTACGGGAAGTATTCAATATGATGGGACATGCGGCACATCACCCATCATGTCCAAGTTGGATGTAATGGAGGTCATGGCTCATTTCGATGTGATGCATGACGCAACACAAAACCCATCACCAGTGGAGAAAGCAACGCATTGAAACCCAGGCTCAATCATCAACTAATAACTATGACCCTACGTGAGTTTTTTTGAAATTTTACTTCGTTTCTCTAGACACTAGGACAATATTTCTCTCCTCTCCTTATCCCCCCACTTCAAGCTAAGTCTATTCTAAGTGTTTCTGAGCTATTCTATTGTTAGTATATGGATTGTTAACAAGAATCATCTCTCAAATCAAAGGGTTTCAAGCTAACCCCTCTCAAGGGATTAAACATAGATTTTTTGGTGTTCTTCGTCATAGTTCAGATTTTCCTTCGAGTAATTTGGAGCAATTAAGGTATGTAAGGCTAACTCTCTTCATGCGGAAGTGCTATGTTTTCCCCAAATCATTTTCTTCATTCGCGTGAATTTCTCCACTATGAGACGAGTTAGGGTTTGAATTTTGAAACATTTTGTATAGTTCATGTATTTCATTATGAACATCATGAACTCCTTGTGATATCCCTAGATTCTAACAATATTCATGTCCCATGAATGTCATTGATTTACTATGATTATGATAAAACAAAGATCATATGATTGTCATCAAAAAGTATGAACTTGATGATTTTATGTTATGATACACATGACGATGAATATAATTATGATTATGAGCCCTTGGCTAAATTTTATCACATAAACAGTTTCGAAGGATTATTATAATTGAGAAGGAATGAGTTTTTAAGACAAGCGGCCAAAACCCGGGGTGAATTTACGTGGAGGAAGTGGGTTCATGTGAACCCATGCTCCCTTACTTAGACTAGGTATAACAATAGTATTGTTTCGAGTTAAATACTTAAATAAGTGCATGTGAACCCGGGCTCATGTGACCTCTTTTGGCGGTTGTAGAGTGTACCTTCAACCTGAAAGTCAAGAGATTGATTCCCCATGTGTAACTTTTACAATAACATTCTTCCGTCTTTATAGTGTTTTCTTTTGTACCTTTGTTATTGTGTGATGGAAAATCTTTTGAATTTTTAATTCGATAATCGCGAGGGAGTACATTTTCCCTTTTCTTTCTTTGTCTTCAGACTTGGGTTCTTAAATCTCCTAATATAACTGTTAGAATAGCAATAAGTATTTCTGACTTAGAATAGGAATTAAAATAGGAATAAGAATAGAAATTCTAGTTGGAAAAGGTTTCCAATGTAGTGTCTATAAATAGGGTCTTCATGTAACAATTTAGATATGCAATTCAACAATATTTTCTCAAATATCTCTCACATGGTATCAAAGCAATTGTGAGAAAAAAAATTAATATTTTCTGGTAACCTAGTCGTTGTCCGGATAATTATTATTTTCCGTCACTGTTTTCATAAAATTGACACCACCACTAGCAGCGAAATTTCCCGTTGAGCAAAGCCCAGTCATCCCCACCGGACGCCAATGCTACACGCGCCGTCACACGCCACCGGTAGGATTTTTGCCGGCGAACTGTCAGACCCACGCGCTGGCGCGTGTGACTTTTTCCGGCCTGTTTTTCGATAATTTTTTTTCTATCTGAGACACCTCTTCATTCCATGGCTGACTATGTAATTTTTTTCTGATTCCGACCAGATTCGATGGCCGGAATTAGGGTTCCAGCTATTTCAGGCTGTTTCCGACAATTTCTTTTAGAGATTTGAATTTTCCAACGATCAGATCTCAATAATCAAGATTTTTTTGTTGTTTTCGAGACAAATTTAACATAATGTCTTTTGGATGTGATGTTTTTGGTTCTAAAAATATAGGGATTGGAAATTCTAGCCCTATAATCACTTCAGATTTTCTATTGGGAAGTTCAAACTATTTATCTTGGCTTCGTCAGTTGAATTGTGGTGCAAGGGTCAAGGTGTGCATGATCACTTAACGAACAAGACTTAAATTGTAGATAAGGCAAAGACTACTGAGGAAGATGCAAAAGTCAAAGCACATTGGAAGACAGTAATGCTCAATTATGTAGTCTCCTATGGCGTTCGATTGATTCCAAATTGATGCCCTTGTTTCGCCCATTCCAAACGTGTTATACAGTTTGGGAAAAGGCGCGTGCTTTACACTAAAAATATCTCTCGATTCTATGATGTGATATCTCGATTGACCAACTTAAAGAAACAAGAATCTGATATGTCTACTTACTTGGGACAGGTACAGGCAGTCTTAGAGGAACTCAACACGTTGATGCCAGTAACTACGGATGTGGAAAAACAACAAGAACATAGACAAACATTGTTTCTAATTCTTACTCTTGCTGGACTTCCTCCTGATAATTATTCTGTGTTGTGATCAGATTTTAGCTAGCCCTACAGTTCCTACAATCAATGAATTATTCTCTCGCTTCCTTCGTCTTGCGGCAACTCCTAGTCAAAATCGTTTCATCACCCACTGTTGACTCCTCTATTCTCGCATCTCAAACCTTTGAAAAGTGTACATATCAGTCTACGGAGAATCGGCGAGGGGGAAGACGTTTTGGAAACCTCGATCCAAGTGTAGTCATTGTCATAAGTCTGGACACACTCGTGACATATGTCATATTTAGCATGGTCCACCACCCAGTTATGATCCTCTTGTTCTAAAGGAATATAATGAGTTCCTTCGAAATCGCGCAAGTAAACAAGCATCTCCATCAGTAGCATATGGTGCTCAACCTAATCAACCATCCAATAATGCTCATATTGCTCAGATAGAATATGATGAGTTCCTTCAGTATCGTGCAAATAAACAAACATCTCCACAAGTAGTTTCGATTGCACAACCTGATGTTGTCTGTCACGGGTAATTCTTTTGCTTGTGTGTTGCAATGTAGTACTATTGGAACATGGGTCGTGGGCTCTAGGGCTTTTGATCATATTTCTGGTAATAAATCACTTTTATTCGATATTGTTTATTCGCAATCTCTTCCAGCTATTACTTTAGCCAATGGGATCTAGACAAAACCAAAAGGGGTTGGAAAAGCCAAACCCCTATCTTCTGTCACCCTAGACTTTGTTCTTTATGTTCTTGGTTCTCCTTTTCATCTAGCATCTATTAGTCGTTTGACAAAATCTCTACATTGTAGCATAACTTTTTTCGATGATTTTTTTTTCTCATACAGGACCGTAGTACGGGACAGATTATTGGAACAGGAAATGAATCACAAGGCCTTTACTATCTTACCTCTTCAAATTCATTGACAACATGCTCCATTAAAGATTCCCCAGATCTAATTCACAAACGTCTGGGACATTCGAGTCTATCCAAACTACAAAGGATAGTGCCTAGTTTGTCTAGTTTATCTACATTAGATTGAGTCGTGTCAACTTGGGAAACACACTCGTGCTACATTTTCTCGTAATACTGAGGGTCGTTCTGAGTCTATTTTTTCATTAGTTCATTCTGATATTTGGGGTCCTAGTAGAGTCAGTTCCACCTTAGGATTTCGTTATTTTGTTAGTTTCGGTGATGATTATTCAAGATGTACTTGGGTTTTTTTAATGAAAGATCGTTCTGAGTTATTTTCTATTTTCAAAAGTTTCTTTGCTGAAATACAAAATCAGTTTGGTATTTCTATTCGTACTTTCCGTAGTGATAATGCCTTGGAATACTTATCATCCCAATTTCAACAATTTATGTCTCACCACGAAATCATTCACCAAACATCTTGTCCATACACTCCTAAAATGGTGTCGCAGAAAGAAAGAATAGGCATCTCATAGAGACTGGTCGCACTCTCCTCATTAAATCCCATGTTCCGCTGCGTTTTTGGGGCAATGCAGTCCTTTTAGCTTGTTATTTAATTAACAGAATGCCCTCTTCGTCTATTCAGAATCAAGTTCCACATTCCATACTGTTTCCTCATTCACATCTCTATCCTATTCCCCCTCGTGTCTTTGGGAGCACATGCTTTGTTCATAATTTAGCCCCAAGGAAAGATAAATTAGCTCCTCGTGCCCTCAAATGTGTCTTTCTTGGTTACTCTCAAGTTCAAAATGGGTAACGTTGTTATTCACATGATCTTCATCGATACGTTATGTCTGCTAATGTTACATTTTTTTCAGTCTCAGCCTTACTATACATCTTCTAATCATACTGATGTCTCTATGGTCTTACCCATAGCTCAAGTTTTACCTGTGCTAACCTTTGAGGGATCTACAGTTACGTCACATCTCCACTTGCAGTGCCACCACTACTAACTTATCAGTCCACGTCCAACCCTAGTCCCAGATGATTCATGTCATGCGCCAATCCCTGCTCCTACTACAGACTTCCCTCTATCAAGCCCACCGCTTGTATTTCAAAAAGGTATACGATCTACTTGAAATACTAACCCGCATTATACCTTCTTAAGTTATCATCGTCTATCATCACCCCATTATGTCTTTGTGTCGTCTTTGTTCTCTATTTCCATTCCTAAGACTACAGGTGAAGCACTTTCTCATTCTGGATGGAGGCAAGTTATGGTTGATGAGATGTCTGCTTTACATAAGAGTGGTACTTGGGAGCTTGTCTCCCTTCCTGCAGTTAAATCTACCGTTGGTTGTCGTTGGGTTTATGAAGTCAAAATTGGTCCAGATGGTCAGGTTGATCAACTTAAGGCTCGCCTTGTCGCCAAAGGGTATACTCAGATATTTGGGCTAGATTATAGTGACACTTTTGCTCCTGTGGCTAAAATAGCATTTGTTTGTCTTTTTCTATCTATGGCTACCGTTCGTCATTGGCCTCTATATCAGTTGGACATAAAGAACGTTTTTCTGCATGGTGATCTTGAGAAAGAAGTCTATGGAGCAACCACCTGGTTTTGTTGCTCAGGGGGAGTCTAGTAGCCTTGTTGTCGATTGCGTAGGTCACTCTATGGTCTGAAACAGTCTCCTCGAGCTTGGTTTGGGAAGTTCAGCACAGTAATTCAGGAGTTTGGCATGACTAGTAGTGGAGTTGATCACTCTGTGTTTTATCGACATTCCACACCAGGTCGATGTATCTATTTGGCTGTTTATGTTGATATTGTTATCACCAGTAATGATCAAGATGGTATCACCAATTTAAAGCAACATCTTTTTAAGCACTTTCAAACTAAAGACCTTGGCAGATTGAAGTATTTTCTAGGTATTGAGGTTGCTCAATCTAGATCAGGCATTGTTATCTCTCAACGCAAGTATACCTTAGACATTCTTGAGGAGACAGTAATGATGGGATGTAGACCTATTGACACTCCGATGGATCCAAATGTTAAAGTTCTTCCGAGATAGGGGTAGCCACTTAGTAATCCTGAAAGGTATAGACGACTTGTTGGAAAGTTGAATTATCTCCCAATGACTAGACCAGACATCTCTTTTCCTGTGAGTATTGTAAGTCAGTTTATGACTTCCCCTTGTGATAGTCATTGGGAAGCAGTTGTTTGTATTTATTCGATATATAAAGTCAGCCCCCGGCAAAGGACTACTCTTTGAGGATCAAGGTCATGAGCATATCATTGGATATACAGACGCTGATTGGGCAGGATCACCCTCTGACAGACATTCGACATCCAGATATTGTGTTTTAGTTGGAGGTAATTTGGTGTCGTGGAAGAGTAAGAAACAAAATGTGGTCGCTCGATCTAGTGCAGAATCAGAATATCGAGCAATGACGACAACAACTTGTGAGTTAGTTTGGCTCAAACAGTTACTGGGAGAACTAAAATATGACAAAATTGATCAGATGGAATTTGTGTGTGATAATCAAGCGGCTCTTCATATCGCATCAAATCCAGTGTTTCATGAAAAGACTAAGCACATTGAGATTGATTGTCACTTTGTCAGAGAAAAGATACTCTCAGGAGATATTGCTACAAAATTTGTGAAGTCAAATGATCAGCTTGCAGATATGTTCACCAAGTTTCTCACATGTCCTCGTATTAATTACATTTGTAACAAGCTAGGTGCATATGATTTGTATGCACCAGCTTGAGGGGGAGTGTTAGAATAGGAATTAATAAAAGAGATTGTGCACCCATCTTCTTGAATCCTGGATACACATCTGCTCGAAACTATATGCCAATGTATGATAAGGGTAATACTGCTAATTTTCCTCTATGTTACCCTCAATATGAGTACTATATGGATTTTTACGCTAACTTATGATATCTATAATTCGTTACCCTAACCAGGTAATGGGATGGCTATGCCGATCGAGAGAGATCAGATTACATGCTCTCACATTGTGGATATGTCGGTTATTTAAGGAACTCCTATAAAAGGGATATTGTATGTAAATGATGACAATGTTAATTTTATTCTAATGTATGTATTCCTTGATTCTCGTCACATTTTTTTCACTATGCTTTGGATTGTCCTTTTTCCCTTCATGCAATTCTTACGTTTCTTCAATATGTTTTACATACGAGTACCATTTCACATGTACTTACACCCATTTTCTTGGGAGCAATGCATTTCAGAATGAAGGTTCAAACACCCAGGACAACAAGGCTACTCACTAGGTTTCCGCACACTCAACTATTAGTGAGCCCCACTTGATATTGGGGTGTAGTCTTTATTTATTTAGCTTCAACAGCTTGCGGGTATGTCAGAGCCTTGTCTCGATAAACGTTATTATTCATGTTATGCTTGGAGGATTCATAAATAGACGAGCCTAGGTGCTCAGTTATACATACTTTATCAGTTTTTTTTTAAATTTTTATGACAAGTTATGAATTTAAAGCAAGTATTTATGAATGGAATTCTTTTAATGACTTTATCATATGGATCTATTTCATATACTTTATGTACGTTTCAAGTTCTATGTTATGTAGAGCTAGTTCACTCGGGCATGTTGAAGTCATTGCAGGTCTGTCCACCCAGCCCTAAGTTCATGGCGTGACACATCTCATCCAAATTTAGCATAATAGCTCCAGCAGTTTAATTAACTACAGCATCTACACCAGTTTGATCCTATACAATCCCAAAGGTAAAAGAAAAGGATGTCGATCTAAGATATTCATCAAGAAGCAAAGTAATATGAGCTGATTCAAGTCTAAACCAGCACAAATTAATCAACATGCTGAAGGGAAGTGAACTAACTCAAACCCACGAGGAGCTATTCGTAGAAGGCGTAATGATGGAGATAGAATCTGGAAAAAATCTTTATCCGGGGAAACAACTCGTACCTGTATAAATAATAGTGTAAGCAACAAATCTATCAGCTGATAACAAATCAAGGTCTTAAGATACAACTTGTTTGCAAGAAAAACTGACCACATCGATCCCTAAAATAAGAATCGTATTATACGTAAGCTGATGAAATTCTGCAATCCAAATTTTGGGTGTATAAACAAAAGAAAAAATGAATGCAGAGATTATGAAAACAAAGGAGACATACCAATGCTGAGATCTCAAAATGAAGACACGACAAACTACAGAATACTCATATTACAATTCAATATTTATGTCCAGATGACAGTAATTTTCATTATTAACAACAAAGTGATGTTGGAAAACGAAAAGCTTTTAAGAAGATCAATTCACAGGGGAATGCTTTTCAGATTCACTTATTAAAAGGACCTCTTTGCCCACATTTACTTTGAGTACGAAATAACTTTTTACAGGCACTATCAGCTCTCTTCTACAGCTATGCAGCAGAGAAACAAAAGGTCACTACTGTCCAAGTGGCCACCTAACATACCTTTCTCATGCTACAATTATATGTGTGATTGGTATGAAGGAAAACTGTTTTCTACGGAAAATGATTTCCTTGAAAAAGTTTTTTTTTGGAAAATAAGTGGTTCCTTACTTATTTTCTAGTGTTTAGTAAGTAATCAAGAAGCTATTATTCCTAGAGTATTTATATGTAATCTAACAAACCACTACGGAGGTGGGATGGGATGGGGAGGCAGGGGTGGGATTGTCAAGAGGTGAGGGTTGGAGAATTAGGTGGGTGGGAAGGAGACAATAAACTCAGAATGCAACTTATTTTCCTTACTTCCGTTAGTGAAGTCATTTTTCTCATTTTTTAAGAAAATGTTTTCGTAGAGAATATTTTCCAAACATTTTGACCAACCATACATAGGTAACCAAACACACTCATATATTTAGGGGTGGCAATTGGGCAGGTTGGTTGAACTTGGGCGGGTCATAATGGGTCAGGAAAACAATTGGGTCAAGACCCAACCCAACCCAAATTTGCTTGGGTCAAAAAGGGTTAGGTGATGGGTTATACAACGGGTCAAGATCCAACTCAATTTTTACTAAGCTTAATTGTTTTATTTGTTCTTCTAAACTATTTTAGTACCTAATATAAATATTTTTTTCCTTTATTATGGCTAAATATAACATATCAAATTGAAAAAATAAAAATACAAATATCATGACAAGATTCCTCATGAGCCAATTCGGGTTACATTTTCAACCCAATTTTTCATGGGTTGAAATGGATTGAGGTAATGAATGGACGGGTCAATAATGTTAGACAATTGACATTTTTTCAGCTTATTATTATTTTTACTGTTTTTTACTTATTTCAATTTAGTGCTTCCTATTTTCTAGATAGACTTAGTCAACTTTAGTTGCTCAACTTTCTGAAGTTAGTGGCCCCATTTTATGGTAGTTAGTGGCACATGTTCTTATTTTAGTTTTAATGTTTATGTTTTTTCTTTGTATAAATTTAGACTTTCTGCAGATTAATATACACAAGAAATTTCATAAGTTCACTCCATTTTTATTTTTTCAAATCAGTTTCTTGAGTATTTTTGTTCTAACAGTGGCATCAGAGCCTCTAGTTCATCTTACAGGACAAAAAAAAAGTTTTAACCTACAACACAAATAGCATCCAACAACCTACCTTCAAATCCACCATTCACTTTCACTGGTGAAAATTACCAAATCTGGTTTGTGAAGATGCAAGCTTTTTTGGAAGCCTATGAACTTTGGGAAACTGTGACGGAAGATAAACCACTTGCTGCTCTACCAGCAAATCCTACCTTGGCTCAGATCAAATCCAACAACAAAGAACAGGCAAAGAAATCTAAAGCCAAGTCGCTTATGCAGAATGCCGTGGCAGATACTGTCTTTTACAGAATCATGGCTTGCAAAACTGCAAAAGAGGCTTGGGATAGGTTGAAAGAAGAATATCAAGGCAGCGATAGAACACGTCAAATGCAAGTGTTGAACCTTAAAAGAGAGCTTGAGTCCTTGAATATGCAGGAGGATGAAACTATCAGTAAGTATGTTGATCGAATATCCTTAATTGTTAATAACACTAGACTTCTAGGTGAAGAATTTACAGAAAAACGAATTATGGAGAAAGTTCTTGTGACTCTTCCTGAGAGATTTGAATCTAAGATTTCCTCTCTTGAAGAACTAAGGACCTGAGCAAACTTTCATTAGGTGAACTAATGAGTGTTCTTCAAGCACAAGAGCAAAGGAGGACTACGAGACGGGAAAAGTTCATTGAAGGAGCTTTCTCTGTACAAAAGCAAAAAGGAAAGCAACAATTCCACCAAAAGAATAAGGGCATGATGGAGGAAACAATAGTGGAGATGTGAAGCAGAAGTTCCCTCTTTACAAACATTGTTAAAGAAATACACATTTGGAGAAGTATTGTTACTGGAGAAACGATGCTATATGTGGCAACTGTAAGCAGACGGGACACATATCCAAGATCTGCAAATCAAGAGCAAAGGCCTCCGGTGCTTTGCAAGCACAAGTAGCAGAAGCTGACGATGCACATGAAAAGCAACTATTTGCAGTTTCATACTTTTCAATCAGTGAATCCTCTGATTCATAGCTTCTTGACAGTGGTTGCACACATCACTTTGTGCAATAATGTTGAATTGTTCAAATTCCTAGATGATACTTACAAATCTAAAGTAAAAGTGGGAAACGGTGAGGCAGTAGAAGTCAAAGGCAAAGGTACAGTGTCTATCTCAACAATATCAGGTATCAAAACTATTTCTGATGTTTTGTACACACCTGATATGAGTCAAAATTTGTTGAGTTTTGGACAAATGCTTGAAAATAATTATTCTCTGCATTTTAAGAATCGTGAATGTGTTGTTTCTGACCCTTCTAGAGTAGAGTTATTTTATGTCAAGATGAGCAACAAAATGTTTTCAGTTGATTGGGAGAAAAGAACTAGCAGGCTTACACTATTACTTCACAAACATGTACAAACCTATGGCACAAAAGGTTTGGTCACTTCAATCTGAGAAGCATCGCCGAGATGAAAAAAAGGAGCTAGTAGAAAATATGCCTGAATTTCTTTCTAATGCTCAAGTTTGTGAAACTTGCCAACAGGGAAAGCAAACAAAATTGTCATTTCAAGCAAATCAAGTACAAAGAGCTAACCAGAAACTTCAGCTCATTCATACGGATGTTTCCGGCCCAATGAAAACAGATTCGTTGAGTGGTAACAGATACTTTTTCCTCTTTATTAATGACTACACCAGAGAATGTTTTAGGTTTATTTCATAAGACTGAAGAGTGAAGTCTTTGATGTTTTTAAACAATCCAAAGCTTTAGTAGAAAATCAATGTAATCTTAGTATTAAGGCTTAGGAGAATACACTTCTTCTCAATTTGTGGAGTTTTGTAATAGCACAGGTATTGAACGCCAATTAACATTACCATACACTCCACAACAAAATGGCGTGTCTGAAATGAAGAACAGGAAAGTAATGGAGATGGCCAGATGTCTTTTGCTCGAAAGAAAGATCCCAAATAAGTTTTGGGCTGAGGCAGGCAATACCTCTGTATATTTGCTGAACAGATTGCCTACTAAGGCCTTGCAGGACATGACTCCGTATGAAGCTTGGTGTGGGAACAAACCATCAATACACCATCTCAGAATCTTTGGGTGTATATGTTATTATCGAGTTCCAGAAACAAAAAGGAGTAATCTGGATAACAAGGCTCATAAAGGCATATTTATGGGCTATAGTTCATCCAAAGGTTACAGGAATTTCTGTTTGAAATCAGACAAACTAATTCTCAGCCGAGAAATGAAGTTTGATGAAGCAGCTGGTTGGGATTGGAAAAATCAGAAGACCTCTTATTCTGATTCATTTTCGATGGAGCAGCCTCAACTTTCAGAAGATGAACTAGTGGATGATGTACCAGTGAGGGGAACTCGATCCTTAAAAGATGTCTATCAGCGGTGTAACTTGGTTAGCTCTGAACCAACAAGCTATGCTGAAGCACAAGACTCTCAGGCATGGAGGAGAGCTATGCAAGAAGAACTAGACATGATCGAGAAGAATGGAGCCTTGCAATTTGTTGACAGAACTAGAAATCGCAAGGTAATTGGTGTAAAATGGATTTTCAAGACAAAACTCAATCCTGATGGAACAATTTGCAAATATAAGGCTAGATTGGTGGTGAAGGGATACGCACAACAATATGGTGTGGATTACCAGGAAACATTTGCACCTGTAGCAAGGTATGACACAATCAAGCTTATTCTTGCATTTGCATCTCATAGTTCCTGGCAGATTCATCAACTTGATGCCAAATCGGCTTTCTTGAATGGTTTGCTTGCTAAAGAGATCTGTGTAAAGCAACCTGATGGTTTCTCAACTCCTGGAAAAGAGGATCAAGTTTATCTCTTAACAAAGGCCTTGTATGGCCTAAAACAAGCCCCAAGGGCATGGTATGAGAGGATGGACAATCATCTCATCCAACTTGGCTTTAGTAGAAGTCAAAGTGAAGCAACTTTGTATGTGAAAGTCAATGCTGCATGTGAGTCCTTAATTGTCTCAATTTATGTGGATGACATGCTTGTGACAGGAAGCAAAATTGAACTAATCCAAAGGTTCAAGGATGAAATGGAGAAAATCTTTGAAATGACTGACCTTGGAGTCATGAAGTACTTTCTCGGCATGGAAGTGTTGCAGTCCAGTGATGGAACTTTCATATGCCAGCAGAAATACATTTCGGATATTCTAAGCAGGTTCAAAATGCAAGACTGCAAACCTGTGAGTACTCCAATATCTACTTGTGTGAAGCTTGGCAAGGATGAGGATTCCGAAAAAGTGGATGATAGTATGTATAGAAGCTTAATTGGCAGTCTTCTATATCTAACCGCAAGCAGGCCTGACATTCTATTTGTTGTTAGTTTGCTCTCTAGGTTCATGCATTCGCCTAGAGACACACACCTCACAGCTGCTAAAAGAGTGTTAAGGTATATTAAAGGAACTAGCAAGTTTGGAATTTTTTTCCCAACATCTGCTGAAGTAACTATGAACCTGATCGGGTACTCTGATAGTGATTGGGGTGGTGGAGTTGATGATTCCAGAAGCACATCTGGATATCTTTCCTGTTTGGGGACAAGTTGTTTTAGTTGGAGCTCTAGAAAACAAGAAACTACAACTCAATCAACAGCAGAAGCTGAGTACATAGCTGTTGCATCTTATGAATCAAGTTATCTGGCTAAGGAAGATGATGAAGGACTTAGGCCATGAACAAACAGAAGCTACCAAGATCATGTGTGACAACAGTTCAGCAGTTTCAATCTCAAAAAAATCCAGTTTTTCATGGTCGAACTAAACATATCAAGATCAAGTTTCATTTTATTAGAGAAGTCCAACAATCTAATGAAGTGTTGCTTGTTCATTGTACATCTGAGAACCAGCTAGCTGACATTTTCACCAAGTCATTGCCAAAGGAAAGGTTTGAAGATCTGAGGCAAAGAATTAGTGTTTGCCACAAAAATGCCAAGGAGGAGTGTTAGACAATTCACATTTTTTTAGCTTATTATTATTTTTACTGTTTTTTACTTATTTCAATTTAGTGCTTCCTATTTTCTAGCTAGACTTAGTCAACTTTAGTTGCTCAACTTTCTTAAGTTAGTGGCCCCATTATGACTGTTAGTGGCCCCCTTTTATGATAGTTAGTGGCACATGTTCTTCTTTTAGTTTTAATGTTTATGTTTTTTCTTTGTATAAATTCAGACTTTCTGCAGATTAATATACACAAGGAATTTCATAAGTTCACTCCATTTTTAATTTTTCAAATCAGTTTCTTGAGTATTTTTGTTCTAACAAATAACCTACCCAAACATAAATGGGTTGGGCGGGTTGGGCTTGATTTCACTACCCCTACATATATTTTTCTTTAAAAAGGTAACATTTACTTCTACATATACATAGGTATACTACATCAAAGTGTAGTCCCCCTCCAAAAAGTTTTACTTACATGAAAGATTGTCTTGTTACAGCCAGTCAATAACATTAAACACATCTTCAGGATCTCCTATCACTACTTGTTTACACCAACAATAGTAAAGCCCCAGGAAGTTTGTATTTATCTTCTGAATATTGTTCCGTGTTCCTTCGAAACATCTTTGATCCTTTTCCTTCCAAATTAAATTGTCCACCAAATGCAAGTTGGGAAAATCCTCCATCTCTTCGGTATATTCCAAATTTGTTTTTGGCCATCAATAGAGCTCCACTAATCAGCACTACATCTTTTTACTTCTATCTCAAAGAACTAAGTACATTTATTCTCTATAATAAGATTACTTAGGATTCACCTAATATCCTGAAAAAGTAAAATTTGTTGTACTTGTATGCTATGCTGGTGATACATGCCTGTGGATGGGCGGTGCACAGAGACTCTGAGCCATCATGGTGGAGATGGGGTTGCAAGTGAAGGGTTTCAATGGTGATGTTGCCACATCTGCTCCACTCCCAGACAATCACCATATCGCCATTCACTTTTCCACCAGATTTCATCAGTTTTCTCGTAAAAAAACAATTTTTTGCTTTCTAACATTGCAAGGACAAGACAAGCTTGTTGAAGGAAAATGCAAATACTGTAAGATGAGGCCAAGTATTAATTCAGCAAATTAGTCAGAGAAATTCTAAGGTTCTAAATTATTTTCTTTACGCCTAAGAAATTCTTTTATTTCTTTATTGTTTTTAAAGTAACAACTTGGATTCTAACAGTTAGGGTTGACAAAGATGGAAATGTAGAAATTTGTATGAAATTCTTAATGTCAGGTAATTTTGTTCCTGCTTAGCAATTTATAAAGATTCTTCATTTACCTTGAATCCAGCATCAACACTTCTAACAGCCAAGGTTCCAATTACATCATCTGCTTCAACACCTGGCACCTGCTCAAGAAACTAATGAACCTAGCATCTCGCAAACTTAGAGGATTGATCTTTGACCCAGTGCTCGACAAACCTCACCTCAATCACCTTGATAGACATGGCCTTGAGGGAAGCTTTCAAAAATTGAAGTCCTTGAACAATTGTATCAGGCGTCGGAGAACGATTACTCTTGTAAGAGGGATACATATTGTGACGAAAATTCAGGCCTATGAAAGTTAATCTAGAATATTAAGAATGGAACTATTGACAACAGATAATACTTCAAATGATTTTTGCTTAAACGTAAGACCTAAATTATCAATGTGGTCTGCAATATTTGTCATTTATTAATGTTTTTACCCCCAAAAAAACACACTAATTTATTAAAGGCGCTTTTGCAGAAGTGGAAGTAATATCTCCTATATGTATTATTCAACAGTTACTACTTTAATTTTCTCCAGAAAAATTACAAATAATACTGCCAATGCACATGTAATCTTCTTCTCTTTACAAGCCATGCACTACCAGAAAAATTACAAATAATACTGCCAATGCACATGTAATCTTCTTCTCTTTACAAGCCATGCACTATATATTATATTACAAGAAAGATACTCATATACATAAAATCACATCAACTAGCAAAACTGGAAGAGAAACCTGCTAGAGAACAAGCAACTTCAGTAGAACTTCATTTTCAGAACTAAAATAAACTTGATTATCCTATTGTTTCCAGAAAGAACTTTTACCAACTTGACGACTTTAAGTTATATACTCACATCAAATGTTCACTGTTAAAGGTTAGTGCTAGCCACTTACAAATTAGAGTTTACATCCTCCCTCTCCTTTTAAAACAAAAGAAAATGAAACAAACAAATTTGCTGGTATCAAATCTAAGAGAAAAAAATTGACATAATGGTGTAGCATAATAAAATGGCATGAAGTAATCATCAAGAAGATCCCATAAGAAACTGATATACTTCATTGCAGTACATGCTTATTTGTATTTTTGATAGGATAATGAAATCCATTGCAGTTTATGTTAGGTCTGTGTCGCACTGGAATAGACTTGTAATAATTATTAATCTTGTCAATAAAAGAAGTGTTATCTCATACATAAGATATTGTTCGATCCCTAAAATCTCTAGCTGCATCAGTAACAAAGAAATGCTCCAACTTGGCTCTCAGTGTAGTTTACTTACGAAAAAGGACAAAAGAAGAAAAATAGTGAAACATACCTTTTGCAACAAAATTTTGTTTGGTTGAAAGAGACGTATGGCCAAGTGAAAATCCTGTAAGGATTTGGTTTGACAAGCATTATTAAGAGAAACTCGCTTACTCCCACTTATTTTTTTAAAACTTCAATCAATTATCAATGTTTGAGTTTATCAATGGTATTGCTAGAAAAAATTGTATCAAGAAATTGATGAGCCCAAGGATTTATATCAAAGAAAAAAGATCAACCCGAATTTCATTAATTGCATAATAATAAAAGATTAACTGTACAGAATTGAAATTCCGATGTTACTACAAAGAAATTGTTATCTAAAAGGCAGGGATTCAAGATAGAACCCGAGTTTCTAGGAGTTGGACAGGAGCTTAATGGAGAAGCTCGAGTTATTCGGCTATGGTGGATGAGCAGATAGAAGATGAACAATAGAATTTGTGAGAAATATTGGAAAATAATATTACTGAATTGTAGTTGTGTCTATATTATTACATTGAAACCCTATTTATTTATTTTTTATTTTTTTTATGACAAGGGAAACCCGCAACCGCTACCCTTTGGGTGTGCACAGGTAAAAACCTTGCTCCTACAATAACTCGCAAACCACGTAGGAGAGGTAACCCACACTAGGCAAGCCCGACACGACGAGCTCGACCAAGAAGTCAAACCCCTTGTTTTTGCTGGCAAGGGATTTCGAACTTAAGACCTCCAACATGAAAGTCTCAAGCCCAAACCACTGGGTCACCCCGAAGGGTCATTGAACCCTATTTATAGACACTAGAATACAATCTTTTCCAAGTAGGATACTATTGACTATACCTATTTCTATTTGTATTCCTATTCCTATTGTAAATAGGCTTGTATAAGCTTATTCCTATTATAATAGAATTGTCTAAACCTATTCATGTTCTAACACTCCCCCTCAAGCTAGTGCAAACAATTCATGTACCTGGATTGTTACAAATGTAATTAATACGAGGACCGATGAGGGGCTTGGTGAGATATCTGCAAGTTGATCAGTCGACTTCACAAAATTGACAGTCAATCTCAACATGTTTCTCTTCTCATTAAATACATAATGTCAGTCAATCTCAATGTGCTTAATCTTCTCATTAAATACTGAATTTGATGCATAATGTTGATAAAACACAGTGTTGAACTTCCACAACCAAACTTGCAAAGATTGTTTCAGACGATAGAGTGACTTAAACAATCGACACACAAGGCTACTAAACTCCCCCTAAGCAAGAAAGTGTTAAAAATCTAGTATAAAGTATACGGATCATGTTGGAATCAATAGATGAGTCAATATTAAACAAGAAAGTCACCAAAGTTGGTCAGAACATGCTCATACGCTAGAGTATTAGATTTGATGGTTGAAAGTGATCACAATCTAAGAAATAAAATTATATAGGTAAGGTTGGAATGATGGCACGACCCAACTAAAAAATAGAAATTATATAGAATAGTTTGAATTGATGGAACGACCCCATTGAAAAAGAGAAATAATATGGATAGGTCGAAATGACGGCACGACCCTACTGAAAAAGAAAAATTATACAGGTAGGGTTGAAATGATGGCACAACCCTATGCAAATTAGATTTAAAGAATTAGCGGAAAGACGATAGAACTATGAAAATCGAATATAAGAAGTTATTAAAAGACTGTGATGCTATACAACTCAGATATCAGAAAATAGTTCAAAAAAATCTACAGTACTACACAAATCAAATATGAAAAGTAGTCCAGAGATGCACGGTGCTATGCAAATCAGATATGCAAATAAAAGGTAGTCACTGGAAGGATGGTACAGCGCTATACTAGTTATATATGAAAACGTAGTCACCGAAATGATGGACCAGATATGAAAAAGTAGTCACCTGAAAGATCACACCGTGCTACACAAATTAAATATGAAAAAGTAGTCACCAGAGTGATGGCATTGTGCTACATAAATTAGATATAAGAAAGTAGTCACCAAAATGATAGCACGGTGCTACACAAATTAGATATGAGAAAATACATACAAGAAAGATACACGGTGACCCAACTTTGCTAACATAATCATTGGCCGGATGGGCGACAAATATGGACAATAGCCGCCTGCTGGCAGTGGAAGCTCTTTGATTGTTTACCAAGATCGTACAGGCTCTGATACCATGTAAGGAATATTGGAAAATAATATTATTAAATTGTTGTTTTGTCTACATTAATACATTGAAACTCTATTTATAGACACTAGAATACAATCCTTTCCAAGTAGGATACTATTTACTATTCGTGTTTCTATTTGTATTCCTATTCATATTCTAAATAGGATTGTATAAACTTATTGGATTGTATGAAACTATTCCTATTCTAATAGGATTGTATAAACCTATTCAACATAATTCAATAGGAAAGTGTACTCGTAAATTTAATTGATGATTCAATCTGTAATGATACAATGTCTTATATAGAAATGAGAAAGAATCTTATCTTGATAACTGCTTCTATGCTAACTACTGATAAGACAAAGCTAACTAACTTAACTAGTTGATTCATTTATTGGGTATCAGTATTCCTTGCAGCAAAGAGATCCTTGACCTCAAGGACTAAATGAGGAAACAATCAATGCATGAAAGCATTCCCAAGTAGCAGGATCTGCTGACTTCTGCTTCGACAACCATCAGCAATTGATCCTGCAATATTGTGAGGATCCTTAGTTGAAATTCTCTCATACATTTCCCCACCGGCTCCACCGAGGTTAAATCCATTTCCACAACATTCATGTGTCTGTCCCGAGCTATTGATGACTGCAAAAGATCATTCATTCTTCCCAGATGGTGCAGTCACTTCAACTGTCAAACTCGCATTCCTGAATAAAAGGGCCAGGAGAGTGGAATAACATAAACAACTGATTGCCTCTATTGTCCATATTCCGCCAAAAAAAATATCGAACTAGTCTTTCCAAGTGAAGAAGATGAAAACTTTAACGATGGAAACTGAGTGCATCCCTTTCCCTTGAGATCACCCTTGTTCTCAAGAGTGAAATATGAACTAGAGATTTGATAATTGATGACTTCTACATGTGTAACACTGTGACAGTTCACAAGGTACATCATATGTCATACATTCCCATCCTCAAACATTATTGCTTTCTTGTTCCCAATCACATCCCAAGTTGCCAATGATAGAAAACCATCAATCCACACTTCAACTATTTCCTATGCAATTAATATTGGTCTTACCTCTACTATAAGAAAGAACAATTTCTCAATCTCTTCATGTTGGAAAGTTTCAATATTACTCTCCAAGTTTAACCATGAATCGCAGATGATCTTGGAAAGAATTGTATCAGACCAAGCTTGCCATGAGAATACTTCTTTCCAATCACTATCCAAGAATTTTGTGTCCATATCACATTCATCATTCAAGAAAACCAAACCAAGATGCATATTTTCAAAAGTCTCGCACGCATCACAAAACAAGTCTTCAAAACCTTCAGTTTTATTGTTTCTTTCAATGGTGCCACTATACAGAGAAGCTACATCTAAATCTCTTTTAGGCATTTCATCGCAAAACTTGCAAGTATATGATGTCTTCTTGATAGAAGTTTCTTGTGGGTAGAAATGAGAGATTAGAGAATTCAAAACTAACCATCTTTTTTAGAGAATCTGCCCTGAATCTTTCCACTAACACTACCACATTCGTTCCAAGTTGGTGGATTAAATTTATTGCCTGTATCTCATAAAGAACAAGTGTCACCGAACAACTTCACCTTCAAACTGTAGAGAAGCAATTTTAATCTTCTCCTCCATGGGAATATTCTCCATCTTGAAAAATTGATCTATTCTAAACAACCAAGATCTGTGATCTTCTCCAGAAAACTTCAAAAACTCCATTGTCGACCCCGAAGGTAATGTGAAATATGATTACAGAAGCTGTTGTCCGATTGCTGCTCTGACTGCCTTCCACCCACTGGTACTTTACCTCCCCTTGTGGATATTTAATCCCTCTGATTCGCTCCATTACTTTCCATTTGTTTTTTGTTTAATAAAGTAAAGTTGTATTCCTCAGCAATGAGGGTATGCTGGCAACCATCAAAAAGATTTACATCAGTGATCCAAAAAAAAGAACTTAAGAAATTGCTACTAAAGTTATAAAGAAAAGGAAAAGTTTAAAATTTGTCCAGCAACCTCTATACCCTTCTCATTACACCAAAAACAAAAGGTCTTCATACAACGCCATTTGATCTTTTGTACTGACTCTGCAGTATTTTCCATACACCTCTTGTTTCTTTCTCTCCAAATAGTCCACCATATACAAGAGGGTATCATGTTCCACCATTTCTTCTGGCTCCTACTCCCCCCTCTTCTCACCCAGCAACTGAGAAGGTCTGTAGTGTGTTTTGGCATTGTCCAGTTTGTGTGTGTTCTACTTAGAAAAATGGCCCATAATTGAGCAATGACTTTGCAATGGAGGAATAGATGGCTATTAGTCTCATTTGTTTCATTACACAGTGAACACCAGGAGGCTATTTCAAAGCCTCTTCTTTGCAGCTTCTCATGAGTTAGGCATGCCCTTCCAGCCACTAGCCATGAGAAGCACCTCACTTTAGTTGGCATTTTATTTTTCCATACCTTACTCCATGGTCCAGAGATTTCCCTTGGAAGTTCCTTCACTTTCCTATTGTACAATCTGCTGACTGACAACATACCATCATGATTGTGTTTCTAAAGCATTACATCAACTTCCAGACTTGTGCCCTTGAAATCATCCCGCGTTTGTAGCATCTCGGCTACTTTCCATTTGTTCCAATCCTTTACCAAGTAAGATACTATTTACTATTCCTATTCCTATTTCAAATAGGATTGTATAAACCTATTCCTATTCTAATAGGATTGTATAAACTTAATCTCATTCTAATAGGATTGTATAAACCTCTTCCTATTCTAATTTGATTGTGTATACCTATTACCATTCTAACACTCCCTCTCAAGCTTATGCATACAAATCATATGTATCTAGCTTGTTACAAATGTAATAATATGAGGACCGATGTTGGGACCCCCAAAATCAAAATTGCCCAAGCACCAAATGCTAAGAATGTGAAATTAGGTTTTAGGCCTAACTCACACCCTAAAAGCTAGCTCAAAGGGAGGAGGATTGCTCAAACCTTATAAGGAGATGGGTTAACCACCGTGTCGGACTTTTGTCATTCTTTAACAATCATATGCACCACTTGATTCAATTTTGAAGATTTGAAACCTTCTTTGCTTAGTGTACCAATTTTCAATAAAAATTTTCTACATCATTTCACATAATTCCCTTACTTCACTAGAAGAACTCTCATTTGCTCTTGTCGATTTTGTCATTGTTCCCAAGGATAGATTGGTTGTGATACCAATGTTAGCTAAAAGGCAAGAACTCAAGATAAAACCGAAGTTTCTAGGAGCTGGATAGGAGCTTAATGGAGAAGCTCGAGTTATTCAGCTATGGTCAATGAGAGGATAGATTATGAAGAATACAATTCAATAGGTTAGTGTACTTGTATATTCCATTGATGATTTAGAGCCCGTTTGGATTGGCTTAAAAAATAGCTTTTAAGACAAAATAAAAAGTAGGGGCATATGTAGAAATGAGAAAGAATCTTATCTTGCTAATTGCTTCTAACTAATCCAACGATGTAACTTACTGATAAGGCAAAGCTAACTAACTTCGCCAACTGATTCATTTATTCTGTAACAGAAATAAACAAAAAAAATATACACACTATTTGCACTTAAACATATGCACTTTCTAAGGTTCAGCTACTTGCCAGACAAATTTCCGAGGTTCCACTTTTTAACTAAACTCTGAGTTATTGCACCTTATCATCATTATCAATCTTTTAAAGCATATTTAAGAAGTTACTCATCACTAGTGTCGGACCTTCTAGGGGAGTGTGACGGTGCGTCTAGGCTTGTTTCTGATAGTGATTGGTCGGGGTTTGGTCATCGTTAACAGATGGAGCCTGTGGTGGTATTAGTTTTTTCACGATGATGACAAAGAATTTTTCAAAAGCAATAAACTCCAAGTGAGAGAAAACTCTACCTCTCTTTTTGGAAAAAGAACCCTAGTGTTGTGAGGGAGAAACAAATCACCTCAAAAGACAGCAATGGCTCTAATACTAAGATTTGGGAAAGAAAATTCTTTTTCTTTTTGTATTTCTGAATATATATTTCTACATCCCATGATAAGGGATACTTAAGTTATATGACAAATTAAGAGAAGAGAAAAAATTACAATTTAATACAATGGAATAAATATTTTAAGCATCTATAATTAAGTTAATAAATCAATGCACAATGACATAAAAATGTGTTAACTTGTCCAAACTTGAGTTGACAGTCCAATATATCCCTACCTTCAGTGTCCAGATAGGCAATGGTGAAATTCTCAAATGCAATAAAGTTTGTCACGACCTGTCAGTAGAGGTTTCTAACTTGATCATAAAGCACAATTTCTTCCTTTGGTGGCACAGACATGGTGTTGAGTATACAATGGCTAGCATCCCTTAACACAATACAAGCCAGTTGGAACGAGATGTTCCTTATCTTCCAATTGAATGGGAAAACATATAAACTGCAAGATGTTCATCAGCAAACACTCAGAACAACATCTTTCCAATCATGCCTTGAAGAATAGATGTTGGCTAGAGATGCTATGATGAACCTTATGAAGGCCCACTCAAGGATGAAAGCACAAGCAGATTGTAAGAAAATAGACCTCTCTTCTAATGTTGGTGATGCTGCCCTTTTATGCCTTCAGCCATACGGCCAAAAGTCTCTATTAGCTTGCACAGTTTCTCAGTTTTAGCCTAGAGGAAAAGTCGTCTTTCCAGGAGGGAGGTACTAAACTACTGATAAGGTACGTGTCTTCTAGACCTATTCAAGGAGGAAGAAGCGAAGAAAGATAGAAGAAGATAATGATTTAAGTCTTCTCAAATTCCTGCAGGTTTCACACATTGAGGATTGAGCGGTTTCTTACAGTTATTAGGAGTTATTTCCAATACCTTATGCTTACTAGAAGCTATATGTTTTTATCCTAAACAGTTACGAAGTAGTTCTAGTTATCTATTATATAATAGTAGATCCAGTAATGTGTAGACAGGATATAATATATCTTTTAAATGCAAAAAAATCATTGTCTAAGAGATACGAGATACTTGTCTCTTTGTATTTTTTATTGTTCGAGAGATATGAGATACTTGTGTCTCTCTGTATTTTCTATTGTTTTTATCACATTCTGACTAACATACTACTTCTATAAATAAAAATTACTATGATTTAAATATACCAAATGATTTAACAAGTGAAGTTACAAGAAGGAATCGTGTCATAATAAATTGAGATAAAGCAACCAAAGACATATATCAAAATTACATATGCCCCGTCTAATCAAAGAGTCACATGCATAGAACGATGGCAATGCAATAAAACAAACTCTATCAAAAGGTTGTAAGTGTTGGGTTTTTTTTTGAAATTGGTAAATTGTATTCCTTCAGCATTAAGGATATGCTGGCCACCTCCAAGTAGTTTACAAAAAAGAGAAGAGAGATGCTTACAAAGCCTATAAAAGGTTGTAACTGTTAGACATTTGTACGAAAAACAAAGAGCGTGGACACAAAAGCTAGCTAAACACATAATGACAACAAACTGAGAGTGGTCAAAGAGAAAGAAATGGAACGATAACAACTCTTACCGTCATGATCAAAAACAACCTGCAAAGGATATAACTAAAGTCAGAACATGAGACAGTATTTTATCACAGCAAATGCATAAAAATAAAGAAACTGATCAAAGAAATTGTACAAAGAAGTCAAATGGAGAATATATTATGGAGAGACTCCCATTCGATGACAAAAATTATTATCATCCATAAGCTAGAATAAGTTCAACTGCAAATAGACATTCTATGAGTAGACTAGGATAAATGGGCATTCCATCCATTTATATTTTGGGTTCTACAACAATACCAATATTTGAAGTTCATTTATTTTATTCTTTGGAGACTAGAATAATGCCAATTAAGCTAGTCGCTAAGACTTGGATGGTTTTGGACATGTGAAAAAGGAGATGTCCAGATACACCGACGAGGAGGTGTGGAAGATTGGATATAGTGAGGCCGTGAAAAAGGCAGAGGTAGGCCGAAAAAGTATTGGGGGAGGTGATTAGACACGATATGGCACATCTTCAACTTACCGAAGACATTACCTTCGATAGGGGGTTGGGGGGTCGCGGATAAGGATAGAAGGTTAGTAGATAGTTAAGAGTTGTCCTATTACTAGCTTATTCATGTATTTGGTTTAGTGGTAGTATAAAGAACATGTGGGTCGTAGTATTTATGTAGTCTTTGGCTTTTGGTATTTGATATCGCAAGTGGTCCACTGTGTTAAGGTGATCACACTTTGTTGTCATTGCTACGGGACCTTGTATATATGCACCGCAATACTTTGCTATGAGTAGTCATGTTTCTCCTCACTATCCTTATTCATTTTATTACTGTTGTGATTTGCTTGAGCCAAGGGTCTTTCGAAAACAGTTTGTTTACCTCAAAGAGGCAGTGGTAAGGATTGGGCTCTACCCTCCCTAGACCCAACTTCAACTTGTGAGGGATTTCAATGGGTATGTTATTGTAATGAAATAAGATCATTTTGAAAAAAAAATGCATTAAGCATCATTTAATTAGGCAACCCAAAGGTTTGGGCATTAGGCGTAAGGCGTGTTTAGGGCGTATAATCGGGTGCTTAGGGCATAAGCTTCACACGTAAGCCTTGAGGCGTTTTGTTGAATACCCTCACAACTTAGCCTTCTTGCAGTAATTAAATGACCCAAATTTTTTGAGTGTTTGTTTGCAGAATTGAATGCAATTTGTCACAGATCTAAGATTAAAAGAAGTAAGCCAATTGGCTAATACTAAAGTGAAAAGTGATTTTGAAATCAGAGAGAAAAAAAGGTATACCGCTATATGTGAAGGGAGAAATTCTAGAACATCAATAATCTGCAAGAAAAGCATATGATTAGATCAATATACGAACCACAAGCAAAAGAAGGTGACAAACATAAATCCATATAGTAGATCTAAACAAGTTCAAGCAACTAGGGAAGAGCTAACATTAGCAAGTAGCTTAAGCTAAAATGAGCAATTTAAAGAAATCTTGGAATTCTTGATTCTGGATATGTTAAACTGTTTTTTGGAAGTTAACATTCTTTACATTGGTATTAAACAAGTATGGAGTTCCTTAAGACAGAAAAGCTCTTCATTTAGGGTAGACAGGGTAGTCCCACAATGTAGATATGAAACTGCCTAATTTTTCCCATGTACATCAGGGAGCTAAAGAAGCAAAGACTTACAAGTGACAATGCTGTAAATATTGTTAGTACCCAATCACCGTTGCCATCAGCATGTGAAAGATGACCGTGGTGCAATTTAGCTGTTCAGGCATAAAGAAATAGTTATCACTAATTATAGAATTCACCAAACTTGAAGAGGAAGAATACATGTCCATATCCAAATAGGCTCATGATAAAAGGACCAGCTTGACTCTCAAGCTACCAAGTCAAATAACACAACCCTAACACAAACTAACTTCTTCTCTTTAGAAATTCAGACATTTCTTGATTTGTGCTTGTCGTGCAAGGGCCATGCTGATCTTCTTAGTATCATTTCAATTTTATCGGATATCCCTGAAGGGACTGACATGCACTAACTTGACTCGAGTATTCTCTAATTTCTTCTATCATTTTTCCAATCCAAGAAATTTAAGTATGTTTCAGAAGCAAAATATGCACCTCATTGATGTCTTAGCAAAGGGTAAATAATTATGAAAAAATCTACTAACATAAACCAAGTAGAAGAAAGTGTCCATCAAAGTAAGTGTGGCCGTTAAGCACAAAAAAGAACCTTTGACTTATGCCATCTAGCAAATCGAACATGGCTTAAAATGAAAATTAACATATTAGATAGAGTTGGACTAAGAATATTATACAAGATACTAAAAAAAAATATTTACTCCTCATCTTTTGAAAATTATGCAGGCTAACATTTTAAGCCTTTTCGCAGAAAGCTTCATCAACTAATAGAATTTTGATCACATTATTGAATCACTTCATAAGTCTATCAATGATGATAACATACTTCACGATAAGAACTTGTATTTGAGAATATAACTTTCTGTCACCCTATTTTTAGAGACTCTGGCCTTAGAGCATTGGTTTCTGGAAATGTTGGATTTCAATGTGTAGTACCACTTTTAATATCAAATACTAAGCTTTAAGCAATACACCATAACACAAGATTTAATACTAATGCATAAGCAAGAAAAGTGAATTTCTTCACAAATTTTGTGTACAGGCACATAAAACTAAAGTTAATTACTCAAAATGACAGTATCATATTAAGAAATCTTGTTTTGCTTATCTACCCAAAAAAAGGAAAAAGGCCTCTTGCTAAACCTTTTGCCTTTCTTGTTTTGGGCCTTTGATCCCATACAATGCTCCATATATAACTAAAGGTTTTTATAGTTCCTTTGTTCAACGCATCCTACCTCGTCATGAGGCAAGCAAATAGAAAACAAGGGAAAAGAGAAGTTTATATATCAACAAAATTCTATTCCTTTTTCACCGTGACACAAAAAGTGTCATATTCCTTTCTGATTGACTCACCTACTTAGTGACAAAGGAAATAAGTCAATGCTCTGAGAAAATTACAGTCAAATACCTTTGGGCATCTAGTTAACAAAACATACATACAATGGTAGTTTATATCCTATACTAGTATGCATATAATATACATACCTATACATATACATATACTACACATATCTATACATATAATACATATCTATACATACTTATACAACTAATATACATCATATATACATATAATATACATACATATACACAACATATATAACCGAGCATATATGTAGTGTATACATTTTGGTCATGTTAGGTGAACTAGATGGACGAATGATATATACTGCTAACTATCCCTGCTACTTAATATCCTTTCCATTTATATATACATATCCTTTCCATTTATATCTACATATCCTCTTTAAGCAAAGATGGGAAAGAAAATGCCCATCCACTTCTTTCTTCATGTTTTTTTCTACCTCTTGTTCCTTCATCTCTCTTCGTTTCCAACCTAGACCTCTCGAAATATGCAGCTAACAAAAAAAGAAAAAGAACTTTTGTGCAAGTTGCAGCAGGAAGAAAAGAAGTTACAGCAACAAACATAACAAAGACTTATTTTCACAAAATAATAACTAATGTGAAGGTCCTAGAGGCTCGTATTTGGCACCACAAAATTATTGGAAGCTCAAGGAGGTAAATATGATCTACTATTGATTAAGCAACTTTCAAATGTTTAGTTGTTAGCTGAATATAGATTTCTGCTACTTCTCGTTATCGGTGGAACTTTAGAGCGTATGGTTCTAGCCTGGAAAACCCAATAATTGAGGACTCAGCTCTTTCAGGATGTCTTGTTTCTTATGTTTTAGAATATTACAGGATTTCTTCAACAATGACTTGATTTCGTAGTAGTTGTGTTCAGTGAAGAGTTCAAACATCTGCCATCATCATTAACTGAATGATCAATGCATTATTCGCTCCTAAAGAAACTTACTGATACTTGATCTTTCCAACCAAAGACCTTTTCCTTTTACACATGGATATCAACATAATGGGGAAATTTTCCCCATACAAGGCTTACATAAAAATGCAACTCTCCAAGAGATCATAAAATTCATTAAGCAACTTAAATAATCCTTTCTTCCAGAATCTTCTCTTTCAATATATTCATTTGTCCACTAACTTCTGTCGGTTTTATTCTTTGCTTAGTCAACCTCTTTCCCTCCCTTAGTTTTCTATATTTTCATATTGCACATCAATCAAACAAAATGTATCATTTAAGCATCACAAAATGCCTTTTGGGGTGGCTACTATGAGACCTAACACCAACTTCCAAAACTACTTTTTGCTTCAGTCAACCTCTTTCCCTCCCTTAGTTTTCTATATTTTCATATTGCAGCATCAATCAAACAAAATGTACCATTTAAGCATCACAAAATGCCTTTTGCCGTGGCTTCTATGAGACCTAACACAAACTTCCAAAACTATTCAGATGGTATAACAATTTCTTCACTGTTGAAAGTGAAGGTCGTCAAGATAAGGAATACATAACTAAAGCAGAAATTATTGATGCTTAGTAGATCGAATACACCACAAACATCTACAAGAATATCCAAAAAAAGTATGATATAGAGTAGCAAAAGTCAGAACTTGATGTAAACATAACCTAAAAGGCTAAAAATAGATCTAAATACATACCAAGTAATCTGTAATAAGCTCGGTATATTATTGAGGTTCCGTCGATGAGCATGAGTTTGCCATTGGAAGGATCAATATTAGTTGACCTAATTTCAGTATGAGGAGTATCAAAAAGCCCATCTCTGCGTACTACTTGGTCTGTATCAATATTTTTGGCATAAATAGGTTCTGAAATCCTGCAGTAACCCTAACCCATATCACAAAATGAAGCATTAGAATGAGAAGTAAAAGGGATTTGTTAAATGAAGATGAAGTTTTTGAATTTACCTTATGAAGAGATGTTGATAGAGGATAAATGGGATGTAACCTTCGGAAATGGGAATTGCTTAGCTTACTCCCTAAGTGAAATACAGTCCTCCACATAGATTGAATTTGACAATGTAACAGTTGATGACATGCCATGTAATTACAGATATATGAACAACAACAACAATACTGTGAAAATTACAAGCTCATGGAATCCTTTGATTATGAAATTTTGGAAGAAATTTGGATTTGTAGAAAGGGCGGGCCTTCGCAAAAAAGCTTTTTGGATAGAATGAAAGGGCTTTTACAATTTTTTTTTATATATATATAAATGCTGATAAATTTGAAAAGAACTTTTGGATAGATAATATAATAGTAAACGTTTATTTTATTAAATATAGATTAATTGAGAAATCGAATAGTGTTTATTTATTTATGATAGATTTGAAAGAAAATATAATAGTAAATGTTTATGTTGTAATAATGTGGTGTGGACAGTTATGTATCAAATTCACACTTTATGACTTTAAAAAATTTTAAGAATGATTTTAGGAGATTTAATTAGGACTTTATTTCTTTCGTGAATTTGAAAGATTAGGGAAGAAAATTTGGAAGAGAAATACTATTACTCTTTCTTTTTATCTCTTTGTTATTAAATTTTAATACTTTATTTTATAACACGTTATCAACACGAAATCTCTTATAAGATTTTTATCGGTGATATAACTATTTTTATTTTCACATTCTAAGCACAAGTATACATTAGAATATTTTCAGTTTATATGTTCTCTAAATAATATAAGATGGCAGTAAATTTTATTAATTAATGAAAATAAAATTTCTTATTAAAAGAATATTACATATGATAATCTTAAATTTCAATTGTTAAAAGTTTATAATTTTAATCTAATTTAACTATTTTTATGATAGTTTTTCATCATGTCAAAATTAGAGTTCGTGGCACTTGATGTTTCTGGAATAAATATTTATCATGGGTACTCGATGCTGAAATTCACCTAGACGCTAAAGGTCTTGGTACCACCATTACTAAGGAAAATGCAGCATCGAGTCAGGACAAAGCGAAAGCTATGGTTTTTCTTCGTCATCATTTAAAAAGGATTAAAGGTCGAGTATTTGACAGTGAAAGATCCACTTGAATTGTGGACTGGTTTAAAGGAAAGGTATGACCACCTTAAGGCAACACTATTGCCAAGGCCTCGTTATGATTGGATACACTTACGATTACAAGACTTTAAAATTGTATGTGAATATAATTCCGTTGTTTATAAAATAACTTCCCAATTAAAATTATGTGGAGAAAATATAACAGATGAGGATATGCTGGAAAAGACGCTTACTACTTTTCATGCATCAAATCTAGTGTTACAACAACAATACCGTGAAAGGGGATTTAAAATTTATTCTAATTTAATCTCATGTCTTCTTGTGGCTAAGCAACATAATACCATTTTGTTGAAAAATCATGAAGTCCGTCCAACTGGAACTGCTCCTTTACTGGAAGCAAATGTGGTAGAAGCACATGGCCAGTCTGAAATAAGACAAAATAAAAATTTGAATCATAATAATGTGTGTGGACGTGGCAATGACAGAAAACGATATAATAATAATCATGGTAGTGGTCATTATAAAAGGGAGAATAATATGAGTTCTCAAAGTAATACTTTAAGAGGCAACTATCATCGTTGTGGCATGAAAGGCCATTGGAAGAATGAATGTCGGACGCCTGAGCATTTTGTCAGGCTTTATCAAAATTTCTTTAAACGAAAGGCAAATAGAGGTGGTACATCTTCTTCTAATGCTCGGGTGAAATCACACTTGACATTTGAAAATAATGTTGATGAAAAACCTTCGCAAATGTACAATGATAATATTGAAGTAAATTTGACTTTGAAGAATGACGATTTTAATAACCTCAATGATATTACTCATTTGGAGGTAGAAGATTTCTTTGAAGATTGTAACTGAAGTTTGATGTTATTTTATAATATATAATATGTTGTTGTTTTTGTGTGCTTTTCATTATCATTTTTTTATGTCACTTTTATTTTAAGAGTAAAATAATATAAAGACCTAAGTTTTCTTGCAATGTTGTTAATTATCTTACCTCTTATGATGTACTTTTATTTTATGAAGATAAATAAAAAATTTTAGTCTTCAATTGGATTGAAGATGAGTAATGGAGATATGTACCTCCTGGATAGTGCTACAACTCACACTATATTAAGAGAAAGAAATATTTCTCTCATTTAATTATAAAGGGGTCAATGTTAATACAATATTCGGTAGTATAAAAATAATCGAGGGCTTTGGGAGAGCATCATTATTACTATCTAGAGGAACAATATTGGCCATGAATGATGCTTTGTATTGTAGTAAGTCTCAAAGAAACTTGTTAAATTTCAAGGCTATTCGCCAAAATGACTATCATATTGGGACTGCAAATGAAGGAAATGTTGAATGTCTTTATATTACTACAATAAAAGAGGGAAATAGAATTGTGCATGAAAAATTATCTACACTTTCTTCTGGGTTGTACCACACAAGTATTGATGTGGTTGAATCACATGTCATGATAAATAAAAGGTTTATTAATCATATTGATTTCACCATTTGGCATAACGGGTTGGGTCATCCCGGTTATAATATGATAAAAAAAATTATTGAGAATTCACATGGACATACTTTGAAGAATCAGAAAATTCTTCAATTTAAGGAATTCTCTTGTGTTGCTTTTTCCCAAGGGAAACTGATTGTTAAACCATCAGCAACTAAAGTAGGTATTGAATCCCCTACATTTCTGGAACGTATACATGGTGATATATGTGGACTAATTCACCCTTCATGTGGACCATTTAAGTATTATATGGTCTTGATAGTTGCATCTACAAGATGGTCGCATGTGTGCTTATCATCAACTCGCAACATGGCTTTTGCGAGATAGTTGGCTCAAATTATAAGGGTAAGAGCACAGTTTCTAAATTATACTATAAAGACAATTCGTCTTGATAATGCTGGTGAATTTCCATCTCAATCCTTTAATGAGTATTGTATGTCTATTAGAATAGCATTTGAATATCCGGTTGCTCATGTTCATACCTAAAATGGTCTAGCAGAATCATTGAGTAAAACATCTTCAGTTGATAGCTAGACCATTACTAATGAGGACAAAATTTCCTCTTTCGGTATGGGGGCATGTTATTTTGCATGTAGCAACACTTGTGCGCATAAGGCCAACCAGTTTTCATAATTTCTCCTCATTACAGTTGGCTTTTGGAAAGGATCCAAATCTATCCCACCATAAAATTTTTGGATGTTCGGTATATTGATATACCGTGGTTTCACGGTATTTTTAATACTTTTTACTTAAGTTTAGTGTGTGTCCAAAAGCCTTTTTGTATTGATTTTTTATGTAAGTTTCTCTTTATTTGCAGGAAATCTGTCTAAAGATGAAGGCGGAAGTTTTGAGCAAGAAATGCAGAAAAGTTACCACCTACGGAGCTTGTGACGGTCTGTCGCGCTTGTGACGGTCCGTAGGTGGCATCATAGTGAAGCTACTGAAGGAAGATGTGGAAGTATGACCTAAGTGTGGGATTACGAAGTTCATGACGGACCGTCATAGCCACGACGGTCCATCCTGCTGGTTCGTCGTGATGATAAAAAAGTAGTCCAAAATCCAAGAAGTTTAAGTGTTATGGAACGGAAACCCTCGATGGACCGTCATGCTTGGAACGGTCCGTCATACTTGTTCGTCGAGGGTAATGAAGAAAGCAGCATAAGGATTTGTAAAGTATAGGATGACGGAGGCCATGACGGCCCGTCGTGACCATGAGGACCCGTCGTGACTATGACGGCCCGTCACAAGGTCCGTCGACTCGGACGCATTTTGACAGATTTTCAGCAATTAGAGTCCTTCTTTTGTTAGTTTTTATTTGTTTTTTTATAAATAGTTGAAAAAACCTCGTTTTGGGGGTTAGATTCTCTGATGTTAGACACTTTTATGTTAGATTTTTTGTTAGTAGATTTTTTTTTGGATATTAGACTTTGGATTGTTACACTTTTCTCTGGAGTTGATTGTTGGTGAATTTGTTGATTAATCAAGTGAACTTCTGGATTTTATTATTTCTCATTGAAGTTAGTTCATGAATTCTTATATTACATATATGAATATTGTGGTTATGATTATGGGTAACTAAACTCCATAACTAGGGTTGTGAGAACCATGGGTGAATAATGAGGTAAAATCCTACTAAAATAATAATTCTAGAATAGTGTCTTGCATGTATTGATAATTCTTTTGTCTAGAAGTCTTTTTAACAGATGACTAACGTTAGAACTCGCCTTAATGCTACTTGCCAGACCAAGGAGGTAGATAATAGGAAAAGAATTATCAACATAGATTTAGTGTATACTATCTAATAGGCTAGTATTGATTGGTACGAGGTAATAACTTAGTCAAATATCGAAAATGCTTAATATGAGGTAAAGGTAAGGGTTAATATAATCGACTTGGCTTTAGATTTGTTTGTCTTCTATTCGTTGTTGTATTTGATCTAAGCCAAGGTAGGATTTGCTGGTAGAGCACCAAGTGGTTTATCTTCCATCACAGTTTCCCAAAGTTCATAGGATTCCAAAAAAACTTGCATCTTCACAGACCAGATTTGGTAATTTTCACCAGTAAAAGTGAATGGTGGATTTAAAGGTAGGTTGTTGGATGCCATTTGTGTTGTAGGTTAAAACTTTTTTTGTCCTATAAGATCAACTAGAGGCTCTGATGCCATTGTTAGAACAAAAATACTCAAGAAACTGATTTGAAAAAATAAAAATGGAGTGAACTTATGAAAATTCATGTGTATATTAATCTGCAGAAAGTCTGAATTTATACAAAGAAAAAACATAAACTTTAAAACTAAAATAAGAACATGTGACACTAACTACCACAAAAGGGGGCCACTAACAACCATTATGGGGCCACTAACTTCAGAAAGTTGAGCAACTAAAGTTGACTAAGTCTAGCTAGAAAATAGGAAGCAATAAATTGAAATAATTAAAAAATAGTAAAAATAATAATAAGTTGAAAAATGTCAATTGTCTAACATTATTGACCCGTCCATTCATTACCTCAACCCATGAAAGATTGGGTTGAAAATGTAACCCGAATTGGCTCGTGAGGAATCTTGTCATAATTTTTTTAATTTTTTTTTCAATTTGATATGTTATATATAGCCATAATAAAGGAAAAAATATTTATATTAGGTACTAAAATAGTTTAGAAGAACAAATAAAATA